ACACACTCCCTGTCATACTCCACCCCACCCCACCCCCCATTTGAAAAGCACGTTGCAGTCACTTGCATGCTGGGATAGCTGCTCATAATGCACTGCTGCAAGTACCACAAATGTAGCCATGCCAGTGCGCTTGAAGCTGTCGGTGTGGACAGACTGCAGCGCTTTCCCTACTGCACTCCACGAAGGTTGGTTTAACTCAGAGCGCTCTACATCTGCAAGTGTAGCCATGCCCTTAAATTGTGAAGAAAAAACATCACAAGAAGAATTTACTTAAAGCTTTTGCAATTGAGAAATAGCCTGGTTTTTTTACTGACCACAAAGAGGACTGTCTAAAATGATGACGAGGTTATTCTCAGCACTGGTATATACAATAAGTGCATGCCCATACAAGAAGAGCTTTCTTGACAAGCTCGGTAGGGGCATGTTACAATAACCCAGAGATGCCATGGGCACTGACCTAGAAGAAATGTAAGGTGATTACAAGACTTATCCTACCCAGTTATCTCTTCCCTTTATATGGGCACAGGGGTTGGGAAGGAGGGAGCAAAGGGACTTATTTTCCTCCCCTCCCCCCAACATAAGGGCCAGGGATAATTGTAGCTCCTGAGCTTGAGTACATTAAAGATTGTGAAGTGCTTGGAAATATGACTGACTGACTGATAGGGGGAGTACAGGGACCAGTGTAATTGGGGGAGTGGACATGGCAGAGGGAAGAGGTAATCCTCCATTTGGGGAAAAGAAGGAAACGTTTCTGTAGCAGGTGTATTTTTATATGGTGGTCATTTGTACTCCCAGATGGACCAGTAAGCAGAAGAAGCTGTCAAATGTGTATGACAAATACAATTTTTTGTGTAGATGCTACCACCACATATGTGATTTCTATTGTATGTATTATTAATTTAAATTTTAGACATGAAATCAGTTTTTGATTGGCTAAGCAAACCATAGTAAGCCATATCTCAAAAACTCAAATCTCTTTGCAGTGTAGTTGTAGCTGTGTTCAGCCCAGGCGATTAGAGATACAAGTTGGGTGAGGAATATCTTTTATTGGACCAACTTCTATTGGTGAGCGAGACAAGCTTTTGAGCTACACAGCTGACCTAGGACACATCAACTCAAAGCAGCACCAGATCCTGCCAGAACAACAGATGCAAAACCTGCAGACGTATCTCCACTGCTACAATGATCACCATCCCCCACAACACACCTTTCAAGAGCCATGGGTCCTACACATGCCTGTCACAACATATGGTGCACTCATCTGGTGCACTAACTGCCCCAATAACAACTATGTGGTTGAAACCAGACAATCACTATGCTCTCAAATGAACTCACAGAGGAAAATGATCAAAGACCAAAAAAAAACCTATCACAAAGCTATCACTCTATATCTGACCTCTCAGTCCTCTTACTCAAAGGAAACCTGCACAACACTTTCAAAAGACAAGCCTAGGACCTAAAATTTGTTACTCTGCTAGTCACTAAGAATTATGGATTGAACAGAAACAGTGGATTTTGGTTTATTACTATAATTTGTAACCTACTGATTCCCTCTTTCAGTCCTGTGACTGCAGAGAGGTTAACAGGCCACTCTACCTTGAATGCTCCCTTACAATATGTGCTCAGTGCTTATACTAAACAATCTTTTCCACTTTGCATTTTGCTGTGATGCTGGGAGTACCTTTCCCAGACCTGAAGAAGAGCTGTGTGTGACTCAAAAGCTTGTCTTTCTGAGGCTATGTCTACACTACCGTGGTAAGTCAACCTACGCTATGCAACTCCAGCTACGTGAATAACATAGCTGGAGTCAACGTACCTTAGGTCGAGTTACTGCGGGGTCTACACTGATTTTCTCCCGTCGACTTACCTTACTCTTCTCATCGAGGGTAGAGTACAGGGGTTGACTGGAGAGCGATCTGCAGTCGATTTGGCAGGTCTTTACTAGACCTGCTAAATCAACCGCCAGTGGATCGATCTCAGAGCATCGATCCCTGCCATAGTGTAGGCTTGCCCTCCCCAAGAGAAGTTGGTCCAATAACAGATATTACCTCACCCACCATGTCTCTTTGTATACAATATTCCATAGACAATTCTCTAGATAGGTTTTTGTGTGTTTGTTCTGAAAACTTTATTTTAGAGGCAAAGTGTTAAACTGATTGAAATTTCACAAGATTAACATTATTGCTTAAAGTGCATGAATCAATTAAAAAATCAAAGTATATAATTAAAACATAAGGCTAAGCAATATTAGCTATACAATTAAATAATTATAGAAATACAGTAAATAGTACAGTTACTGAGAAATAGAAGACAAATAAATTAAAACAACACTGATAAAAGGTACTAGAGTAAAATAGGTATAAAGAAAGAATCCCCTAAAATTCTAATACACCTTAAATTGTAAAAGAGAGTGCTCAAACTCCTGGGCCACAAAACAGAAAACAAGAGACAAAACATTAAGGACCTGTTGCAAAGTAGTGCCGAGTAGCTGGAAGTTGCAAGTAGTCAGCACCACTCAGGATCAGGCACCCAGTGCACAATATCATAACACATATGGGTGCAAATGTATATGAAATGTAGTTTGAAGATAAAAGCCATGTGTAATAAAATGCTAGAATCCATTGTAACGTTGCATAAATTCCAGTTACATCTTCATTCAAGTCTTAGGCTATGGCTACACTGCACCGGAGAATGGTCTATGAGGATACGAATTGTAAGAGCATAGCATTTTGATGCAATCAACTGGTCCATGTGGACACTGCTGACGCAAACTAAAAGGTACCGAGTTTGCATAAACTTAGTCCTCTTTCAAATAGGACTACATTAATGCAAACTAGCCTTTTAGTTTGTGCCTACAGAGTCCACACAGGGCAGTTAGACTGTAACATTTTGGTGCACTCTGCAATTCACACCCCAGTAGGCTGCACTGCAGCGCAGCAGCATAGACAAGCCCTTAATGTCTTTGTTAAATTCAATGCATAGGAAACATCTGCTGCTTTTTAATTTTAACTGCTAAAGGAGTCAGACTTTAAAATGTTAGTCTATTGAACCACATCTGTACCCTATTGAAATTGGATGAGTATTGGGGTGGTTGTGCACATCTTATTTTCAACTAGATTTTCTGCTTTCATTGATTCTCCTCCTTCACTGATCCCTTCTTTTGTCCCCATCTACTATGTTCCAAAAATAGAAAATGTATAATATGCTGACAGCTTGTTCTGTGATACATAAAATTTGGGTCTGAACTTGTCCTCCAAGATAGCTAATTTACACAGTGCACGGTAACACTTCCTTGGGTTTAGCGGAATACCAACAGAGAGTAAAAATGTTCTTTTCTATACATAAGAGCATGTAATAAAATGTGGAGATGAACAAGTAACAACGTTATACAGAAAATACATCTCATGCAATGGCACACAAAACAACTAATGAACTTAAATTATTCTTGGGACTAATCCAGTTAGCTCTATAAACTAAAAATCACATTATACAAGAGCACAGACAATCTACTGCAATTTTTTTTCTAAAATTGCTGTCTAGAAAAGTTTTGATTGTCCCAAATTTTCTCCACTCTTTTCATGATGCACTGGAAGTGAAAAATATAAGTATATAAAATGTCTGAAAAATGTACCATGCATATATTAAAAATCCAGGTAAATAAATTTACATCATCCTCCAAGGCGCTGAGCACCCTGGCCTCAATCCAGCAAAGCACTTACAAATGAGCTTAACTTTAACCAAGTGTATAGCTTTATGGAGTTCAATGGGGGAACTCACATTTTAAAGTTGAGCACATGATTAAGAGTTTTGCTGGCTTGGAGACAGGTTGGTGGATGGAGCCTTAACTGATGATTAGGACTGTATCACGATTACAATTTTTTTGATTGACAGACCAAACAAATACAGAGTAATTTAACTGGTGCTAAAATAAAGTTCATGCTGATATTACTTTGTAGTATTTCCATGATTTCTTCAAAGTTGAAATCTAGCCATTGATTTTCTACTCGTGTTACATCATTCCTGTAAATCTTTTCTTGAGTTAGCAAAACCCTCTTATTTAACAACCCTGCAGCACTTTCATATAACTCCTCTGGGTCCCCCTAATGTATCACAGAAATGTTGATGGACATTTTTTTTTAACCCATAAAGTATCAAGGAACAAATTGTAATTATCTGAATTTATTATCCAACGTAAAGTCTTGTCTTGCAGCCTGGGAAAAACAAAAATTTGCATATGCTGAATCTTAGATGTTAGTGTTTAACTATTGCTGCAATACCCAAACCTTATTAACACAAAAACCATTTCCTAGAATCCGACACATTTTAAAATAATTTCTTTATGTACAATTGTTCTTTATACAAACATCAGTCCTGAACACACGACATACATTGCTATTTCTTTTTGTTTTGTTGTAAAGTTTCACACACATCCTAAAAATGTATGGCAGCAAATTGCAAAGTACAGAATGTTTGTCTGACCTTGGTTAACTTTGATCTAAAAAGTGCATTTATTCACAACCAGAATACAGTCTCACTTGCCAGGCAAAACATGGCCACATTTATTAAATGGAAAGATGTGAATGTTCAGAAATATTCCATTAAAGAAGACAAGTGATTTTACTGAATTTAGGGCCTGATCCAGTTCCATTAAAGTCAATGGACTTCAGAGATCGTTGAAGCCTCTTATTAGGCCAGTCTAAAATTAAGAAACATCATAGTCCTCTATGGTAAAACTTCCATCCCACTGTGAGTAAAAGAAAAAAGTGCCCTTGTTTGGACTCAATCCTCCAACCTTTACTCATGTGAATGGTCCCATTAGAACACTTGGACTACTTGCATAAGAAGAGTTGTAGGATTAGATCCTGTGTCTGATCTGTTGGATCAATACACCAGCATAATAAATAATTCACAAATCTCTGAAGATGAAAAATCCAGTTTTGTTTTTCTTCCAAGGTAAAGTGCTATACTTCTTAGTATATGGCCACTGGTATAAAATGGCCACTTATAATTCCAAATTAATTTCAAACCATGTTATGCCAGAGGCTAACATTGCATGCTCACTAAAATGTAACAAAAACAATTTCACTTTCACAGTAGATTGTAACACAAGTAAGTTTTTTTTTCCCACTCTCCCAAGAGAAACAGAGCTATCAGATTCAACACTGGTTTTAAACAATATTTGTTGAAATAAAAAGCTCAGCGACAAAACTACAGTTGAACTTCTAAAAAAGTACTGAAGGTGACACTTTCTAATAAATATACAAAGTTAAAAACACGTAACAGTAAATACTGTGAGATGATGATGCTTCTTTCTAGAATTCCTCCCCCTCTCTTTCTCTCCTCTCCCCCCTAACAGGGCCAAATCATGGTTTTATTGAAGATAATGGTAGTTTTACCAATTGTCTTCAGTGAGATCAGGATTCGATCCTTAAAGTCCATACACTAAATAGTGAAATATTATTGTCAAATCTACCAAGTTAGCTGTCAGACAGAAAATTACTCTCAACACACAATCAATCCCTTCTCATGCCCTATTGATACTTCCTCCTACCCTCCTTTCTTGCCAAGTATTTCCAGTATTACTTGTATAGCAATTTATTAGCTAGAACATGACCAGTGCCAACCAGGTTTGAAAAGTAAAACATGAACAGTCACATTATGCCTTTTGATATCTCTAGAACCATGTACTCTTGAACCTTTCTGATACCACAGTGATTGAGATGTTGACAAACAAGACTACTGATTGGGAGTATGGTCAATACATACTGCAGGTGTAAACTACAGACTATTACATAACAGGTGTTCTACATTGATAAGCAATGGGCCTTGTCCTAGGTGCCAAGTACCTACAGTTGCCACTGATGTCATTTGGAGCTGTGGGTGCTCAGCACATTGCGAGATTGAGCCCAATGATAGATATTGTATCAATAACATTACTTAACTAGACTGTGTAATACTAGCCCTGATGAAGGAGATGTTTTGTATGCTCAATATTGGAATATCTGTGAACTCAATAAGCACACACACGTTCTGTTATTCTTTTTGGCAGAAACATAAGATCATTCCTTAGAAAAGTACTTCATATGAGGAACCTCTCCCTCCACTTTTCCCCACAAAACCCTCAGTGCCTCTGTGGTTTTAGAATCAAAATGACCAGCTCAGCTTATCTGTGCTCTCTCATCAGGATAAACAGGAAGACTGGACACATTGTATCATTTTGCTCCAATGTCATTTAAATCTCTTTATGTGACTTGTAGTCTTGAAGTTACCCATTTAAAGTTTTTAATAACCCAAAGCTCAAAGGATTTGGGAAGAATATCTTTCTAGTGGTGGAGAGTAACATGTGACAAAATCCCCTATGCAACCACAATTCCAATGGTTATGAAATATATTTTTTCTACACTTAAAATGGATAACAATACATATTAGTACATATTTAAAGGAATGCTTCATAAAATGATATCCCAAAGCTATTTAGAAAGTTTAAACAATTTGCCCTAAATGTAATGCACACTTCCATAGAAAATACTATTCTAGCTCAGCTGGATTTAACAGATGACCCCAAATCCTATTATCTGTAAATGTTAGTCCATATAAATTTTACTAAGAGCTGACTGCAATTCATTCTGAGTCATACTAAAAAAAAAAAAAAAAAAAAAAAGTGCTGCATGTCAGAAATGAAGGGTTATAGTCAAGAACACATAAACCATTTAGTAGAAGATAAGATAGATCATTGTTCGACTATTCAGAATGTGCTCTGTGTAAAAGTCAGTTGACAGTGCTGATCAGTTTTCTCCACTTGCAGCATTTCACAGTTCTCCAAGTCACTCTCTTGACTGATAGAATAAAATATAACCAGATTCTGAATTTTTTGATATATCAGAGGTCAGACCATAGAATTCTTCAATAGCTTGAGCATCTATTTTCTGCAAAAATAAACAGAGTTGTTTAAAATGTTTGCTAAAAACAAAAAACAAAAAAAAACTAAGCTTGGATTAAATGAATATAAAAATGCAAAAACATGTATGTAGTTATTTGCCTCAGGGTAATGACTAGCAAGTTTTGTTAGTGATTCAAGAAGTGAATGGGCAGTTTAATAGTTTAGGAGCCAAATTCTGCTTGCTTTGCTCATTGAGATCAATGGGACTACTACTCTGAGTAATCCAAGCAGGATTTGCCATAGGTAAATGGAGAGAATCTTTTCTCTGTTACATAATAGCAAACAGGTAAATTGTGATTTAAGGTTTCTACAAATGTAATGGTAGATTGGTGCTGAAGTAGTGATATTGCATTTAACTTTTGCCTTCCCCCAGAGGTCCTCTACTTTCCTCCTTTTATTTTCCTCATCACTGCGTCTTTTGGGACAGATTCTGCTACCCTTATATTTAAGTAGTACAGTACCACGCTCTCTCCTTCCAAACAATGGGCCTGATTCTGATCTCGCAGCAGTTTTACTCTATTATAACTGCAATGAATTTGCTCCTGACTTACACTAGAGTGAGATCAGAACCAGCCCCTAGTCTTGGCAACATACTGCAGCGATTTTTAGTGTCTGCTTGAGACGCTACGGCACTATGAGCAGACTGCATCTGCACCAACTGTAGGCCAGACTCTGCTCTGATTTATAGAGGCTGTGCTGAAAGGTGAACTATCAGACTGGAGGGAGGTTACTAATGGAGTTGTGAGGCACTGTTAACACAGAGGAGGATCAAAATATTGTACAGGAGGATCTGGATGACCCTGAAGATTGGAATAACAAATGGGATAAAATTCAATAGTACAAAGAGCAAAGTCATACAATTAGGGTCTAATAATAAGAATTTCTGCTACAAACCAGGGGTTCATCAGTTGGAAGTGACAGAGGATGAGAGAGAACTGGGTGTGCAGGTCAATCATTGGATAACTATTAGCCACCAATGTGATGCAGCTGTGAAAAAGGGCAAATATGATTCTAGGATGCATCAGGGGAGGCATTTCCAATAGAGATAGAGAAGTATTAATGACAGGTTTCAAAGTAGCAGCCGTGTTAGTCTGTATCTGCAAAAAGAACAGGAGTACTTGTGGCACCTTAGAGACTAACAATTTGTTAGTCTCTAAGGTGCCACAAGTACTCCTGTTCTTTTTGCAGAAGTATTAATGCCATTGTACAAGGCACTGGTCAGACCTCATTTGGAATACTGTACACAGGTCTGGTAAGCCATGTTCAAGAAAGATTAATTCAAACTGGAACAGGTGCAGAGAAGAGCTATTAGGATGATAGGGGACTGAAGGGCCTAGCTTATGAGAGGAGACAAAGAGCTTGGCTTGTTTATCTTTTCTTAAATTGAGGGGAAAGGGAAGGGGGAAATTAAGTCACCATCAAAAGCTGATGGTCTCTGAATGGTATGCCACACCAAATGGACATAGGAACTTACACACCAATAATCTTTTCATGATCGTCTGCATACTGACCTCTACAATGTCATCATCAAACAAAAGCCAAAATCCATGACTTTTCACAATGGTAATATAATGCCCACGATTAGGTCCACTAGAAAAAAAAGTAATTAAAAAGTATCAGAGCTATAAATGGGCTGGTTTTGATAAGTCATATGTTAAATGGATATTATATTTCCACTGAAGCCCCTTGTAAGCCAGCTTGCAGTGTTAACTAGACATGTGCATTCTTCTTTCTCCTATACTGGGTTATCTAAAATGAGTTGGTCAACTGAAAATTGAATGCCCTCTCATTATCTGCATTATGGTAGTTTATAAATCTAGCTAAAAAGTAATTGACAGTTAGTTGGTGGCAGACATAAACTATGACAAATATTTTCAAAATTGCTCAATGGAATTTAAATAGGAAGAAAACAGGCTGATATTAAACGTGGAAATGCAATTATGTATCTTCTTCTGGGTGGGGAGAACAATTAGCTCACATTCCTTTTGAGCTTTAAGAATTCTTCCAGTTTTTTCCACGCTTGACAATCCATCACATCCAAGAACTCCTATTATAGCTACGATTCTTCATTCTAACCAATCATTACCAGTCCTTAAAATCAGCCAGCTGAAGCAATCACCATTTAGTAAGAAAAGAAAATACAACACTGCCTCCTTCTAGAGTCTGAATATGCTGTCTCCACATATTTCCAGCCCAACAGAAGTAAGACACAGAGGGCCAGATTCTAATCTTTGTTACACTGGTATATAAACAGAGTAACTCAGTTTAAATTACTTGGATTTACACCATCTTCATTTACAAAAATCTGACTGAGATATAGGTATTTCATATGGCAATGCAGGATATTCCTGCTGTGATTCTGGGCTGGCCTATAATTATATATATTTTTTTGTCCTAAGCATTTTAGAATAATCCAATTTTAGGTAACCTAAAGTTGGTCTCAATTATGTAAACAACTTGGCACGGGCAGACCCTGGCTTTCATATGCTATCCCATTGACTTCAATGTGACTTTGCACAGTAGTAAAGGTCTGTTTGTTCAAATTTGTTGCAAGATCAGGCCCAGAGTCAGCATTCTAGATATACATGTATTGGCAGATAGCTGAATTGGACAGTTGGATTGATCCTTTTCCATGTCTCATTTCTGTAGTCCTATGACACCTGTTTCAAGTAGAGCTGGTCAGGAAACGGAATTTGACATCCATGAACAATTTGAGGTTTTCGGAAATTGTTTGGTCTTAAATTAGGGCAAAAAGTAAAAATGTTGAAATTTTTTTGCAGAATTGAAATTCTGTTAAATCTTGTTTTGGAAACAATGAAATGTTCCCAGGAACCTTTTTGGTGTTTCCCAAACAAGTATACTTCCTGGCTCCCGGGAGCCCCACCTCTACAATAGTTTGTAAACTCTTCACTAGGCAGACTGGCTACTGAGGAGCCCGGGAAAAAAGCTCCAAAGACAAAAGAACCCAAAATGCATTTTTAAAATCTTATGATTTTTAAACCAATCTCAATATATTTTGAGGCCTGACACATGATTTTTGAATGTTTGGAATTGGCAATACTACTGATCTAATAATAGGTTGGGTACACCTGAATGCACTTTACCTGCCACAGTGAACGACAACAGCCACCAAGTCATACATGCGATCCAAGTTGACTGCATCGCTGGATGTGTTGAAGAGACGTAGCTCCAGAGGAAATACCACACGGTAAGAGAGTTTGGTGTACCTGTGTAACTGCTCCATGTACTTGAATCTCTTGAGGTGCAATGCAAGGATCATTGGCAGCTTTTTTACTCTCATCCTGTGAAATCATTAATAAGGGTGTATATTATGAAGCACTGCTCAGTTCAGTGTTATTCTTTTCTTGCAATCCTATGCCTGCACATTATAAATGCACTTTGTAAATAGAGGTATTCCATCAGCAGTAACTGGAGACCTAAGAGATGTATGTAGCAGCTGTGGCTCCACCTCTTGGTTTCAAGGTCCATGTGGAGTGTATGTGTGTTGGAGAGGCTTGCAGCCACTAGAGGCCAAGAAGCTGCAAACAAGTTCAGGAGGGGGTTCACTGCAGCCACAAAGGTATCACAGGCAGGAGACTGGGAACGTTGTACAAACACAGAAGTTGGAGGACTGGACCGTAGTTTAATGTATCAGTAACAGAGTGAGTGACACTACACTTCAGCAGTGATTTAAATTTCTACTAATGATATGTCTACACTATGATTAAAAAAAACCATGCCCCAAAGTCTGACCCTCCCCCCTTGTGGGATTTCAGAGCCCAGGCTCCAGCCCAAGCCCAAATGGCTACATTGCAATTTTATAGCCCTATGAGCCCAAGTCAGCTGACCTAGGCCAGCTGTGTCCATGCCACAGGTCTTTTATCACAGGGTAGACATACCTTAAGAGCTCAGTTTACCTGAACAGGGATTGAACTGCACTGTTCTTTACCCACCTTTTCTGTGCCTCTTGTTTACTGCAGCAAGTTTCACAGTAGTACTTCTGTTCACTACATAATGTTTCTGTGTTGCTGAAGTCTCTGTAAATAAATATAATTATCAGTTTTTAATGTTCCTTGAAACTTCCCCCAATATCACACTTGGACTGATGAACTGAAAAGCCAATAAGACACAATGGGTGAAACACTGGCCCCACTGAAATCAACAGGAGTTTCATCCAATTTCTAAAACATGCTATTTACATCACAGCTTATACTTATAAAGGCCCTGACCCAGCAAAGCAACTTAAATACCTGAGTAGTCCCATTGACTTCAGTGTGACTACTGGTGCTTAAACTTGAGCATGTGTTGAAGTGCTTTGCTGGGGGAATGTTAAGAATTACTTTTCTTTGTGAGTACTAAGAGTTTTGTGCTGCTACTTGCTTCACTCTGGCAATTACTTCACCAAGCAAGACTTTTCAACAGTATTAAATTCAACATGCATGCTTCCATCCCGTGCATATAACTCTCACTGAAGTTCATGCAAGATGTGTGTGCATAAGGTACTCCTGAGGGAATTCTCTGCCAAAAAAAGTAAAAATTCTGCACACAAATTTTATTTGTCAATAAATAAATGTGGAGGCTACAGCATGGCAACGGGGAGCACAGGCCAGTGGCTGTGCAAGGTGGGAGATCACCCTCTGCCTCTCCCCCCACCCTGGAACATGGACAAGGACCCTGAGACAGCGCAAGGGCTGGACTGCCCCAGAAACACCCCAGGGCACTGCCCCTCTGCACCAGGTGCACCAGGTGTGGGCAGGTAGGATCTAAGTGTGGAGGGGCTTAATGTGTGGGGGGATCCAGGTGTGGGCTGAAAAGGTTCTGTGTGGGGCAATCTGGGTGTGGGCAGCTCAGTGGGGGGTCCGAGTGCGGGGGCATCTGGATGCACAGGAGTTTGTTGTGGGGGTTCCAGGTTGCTGGGGGGTCCAGGTGAAGGTGGTTCAGCAGGGCGAGGGGATGGGTGTGGGGGGATGGGGCTTGGTGGGGGGCATCTGGGAAAGTGGGGCTGTGAGGTGGGGGTCCAGGTGTGGGGGTCTCATCGGGGTGGGGGCTTAAGTGCAGGGTGCTCGGTGGATGGTAGTCTGGGTGTGGGGGTCCAGATGTAGGAGGGTGGGGCTCAGTGGGAAGGTCTGGATGCAGGAAGGTTCCAATGCAGGTGGTCAATGGGGGGGGTTGGGTGGATGGGGGAGCAACTCCCCATACAGTGACCCCTTCCTCTGCGGAGGAGAGATGGGGGCAGGAAGTGGGTAGGCAGAGCTTCCTGCAGCCGGGGGAGGTTTCTAGGGGTGGGTTTGACCCAGCCAGGCTGCTCCTTGCAAGGTAAGAGAAGTCCTGTCCTCCCACACTCCCAACCCAGCTGGGACTAGTAGCTGAGCCTGGTGCAGGGTAGGAGCCACCAGCCAAGGCATCCCCAGCCCCCACCCCACCCCCCGGTGATTTACCTCTCTGCCAACTACTCTGGGTGCCCAAAACGATGCACCCACACTGCTGGGGAGGGATATGTGACCGCTCTTGTGGCTTTCCTTTGCTTCCCCATCAGAAAGTCATTTTTCTTCAGGGAAGCAAATAAATGTACAGGGGACATGAATTCTGCATGTGCACAGTGGTGCAGAATTCCCCCAGGAGTAAAGAGCTTCAGGACTGGGTAAGGTATTCCCAACAGCTGCTGCACTCAAGACACTCCTAATTCTCCCACGTGTCACTGATCCAAAAAAGACTTTGAATTCTGTTTGTGTGGTTTTAATTGGGAGCAGAGGGGAATTTTTAGATACTTACACACACCCCACCCCAAACTATTTCTGGATTAGCCCATCTGGATTATTAAAAAAAAAAAAAATAAACCCTATAGGTCTCTCTGCAAGATTTACCCAATGGTCAGAAAGGTGCCTTCTAAAATAGAAAGTGTGTTGGTGTTATTTAGTCATGTAACCAATATAAATAATATCTTTTAATAGGATAAAAAAATATAACAGAGACTGGAGTTGAAAGTTGGGATCAAATGGACTGAGACAACTGGCCTTTATAACTTGGAATGGAAATAAAAATAATTGATACATAATTCATTTTGTTCTTAGATGAATTCCTCTCCTGCTCTTTGCCAGACCTCATACTCAGGAGAGAAAGATTATGCTGGAGGTATGTATTTTTTGGAGCACTTAAAACACATAAAGACCTTTTCATCTGACCAAAGACAGAAATAACTAGAAAAGTTTCATCTATACTGGTGAAGAAATACATTTTATTGAAATACTGAACAATTCTTATTTATTTGTTCCTCTTTTCAACATTACAGTATTTACATCATGAAGATGCAGCAAAAGCAATTATTGTCATAGAAAACAGGCAATGAAATTTAGTAATATAATTTGATGTTCCCTGCTGAAAAAGGCTGCAGAGGCATTTGTCCATTTTATCATGAGTGATACAGAATAATAATGCAGCTATGGAAGGCCCGTGTTCTAGCTTTCCAAATGTTTAATTAAAAGAGAGTTTCTCTTTCTTCCAAGGAGGGAGTTGTGCTCCTTCTAAAAGGCCATCACAAAGGATGACAATTGTGGATTCTCTGCCTTGTGTGTTTTGTAGGTAACAATCTGTAGCCACCGTCTCAAAAAAGATTTGAAGTATTTTCATCCTATTATGTTCCTGCAATGGAGGATGGAAAGGCTACTTAAAGCATGTGGCTGTTATACTGTACGCTGCCAAGGTTTTAGTTATGTCAGTACTGTAAACTACTGTATGTGTATGGGAGGTTGTCCAGCCAGGCTACTAAACTTCCTAGCTTCTGTTCTAGCTGAAAGACATATGATACTGGCAAAGTGTAGGAGGAAAGGAATGGATTGCACAGATTCAAATCACAGTATTAGGAAGGCTCTCCGTTCCAGACTGTACCCTTTATTGAAGAACTATGTAGCCTTGAAGAAGAGGGGTCCTTTTAAACAATACATTTCTTATGAGTTTAACAACCAAGAGGTTAGATAAAATATTAAGCTCTGTTTAGAATATCTAGTATAACTTATTTGTGCAATTTGTTTTTTACATATGGTTGATTGTGATACAATTTTCTGTTTAAGTCTAACAGGCAGGCACTCAGAAGTATAGTTTAGTGTACTTTCACATACAGGTATTAGATAGTTTTCTAGAACAACAGTTCCTAACAAGTTTTCCAGATTTTGGCTGCAAAAGTTAGTGCTGCCTGCCTCCTATTTACAGTCTTTGTATACCCTTCTATTTGGAGAATCCTAAGTGCCATTGGAATTTGAAAGCATACAGCTGAAAGAGAGATGATTAATGGTGGCACATTTGGGCCCTAACCAGTGACTAAGGTCAGGAGCCTAAAGTATCAGTGACAAAAGACTGAAGTACCAATACCAGTGTGATTACTCGTGGTCAAGAACACTGTTCTAAAAGAATAGAAAAAAAGACATCCTATTTTCCAAGGCAAAGTCCTTTATGGTCACAAACTAGCTCCACTGATACAGACATATTATGTTGGTGAGCATCAGTACAAAACCCTAAAATAAACTGGCCTGAAACTGAAAAGGAGAATTCTCCTGAATCCAGAGTTTTGAAATGAAATGGTAGTTACTGAGCAAAACCCTGACATACAGCATAAGTAACATTCCAAAATGCAATAATAATCCCCCATCTCCAGTACTCTGTGGAATGGTTCACTTGCATCTGATTCAAGAAGCTGTTTATATCCTAGTTGCTGCTCTTTCTGTGTGTTTTTAGGTGTAGTGTGCTATGTAAGGAGGTCTCTCTGAGACTCTGAAGCGTCATTTAAAAAGTATTTTTAAAACTTCTAAGTAACTTTGGACCTTGAAAGACTATTTTGGCCTTCTGATATTATTTAATTAAAATAACATATTGTTTTGAACATAGATACCTATCTACCGTAGTCGGTGCCAGGACTCATGATATTTTAAATCCATCCAGTGCAGTCAGTCCATGTGAACCTGGAAACGGTATTTTTTTAAAAATCTTTCAGGGATAATGGTTAAAAAGTTGTCAGTTTCTGCTGCACTGCAGCTTCCCTACACAATTGGAACTTGCAATAAAAGTCAAGAGTCCTCTCCCGCTATAATGTTAGGATTACAAGCAGAGTAGCAGATTGCAATTTACAAAGCAGAAAATTAGATTTTTAAAATCCCTTGTTTCTAAGGTCTCTGGGCCCAATTCAGCAAACCATATGCTTAACTTTTAGTATGTATATAAGTCCTAATCAGCAAAGCACTTGAGCATGGGCTTAAAGTTAAACACATACTTAAATTCCACTGAAGCAAACTCATATTCAGCAACAACTCTTCCAGGTGAACCAGATGATCAATTTCTTACCCCAATAGGGAACCGTATTCTCTCTCTCTCTCTCTCTCTCTCTCTCTCTCTCACACACACACACACACACACACACACACACACACACACACACACAC